CAGGAGACAGGAGAGAGGAGGGACACAGCACAGAGACAGAGACAGGAGAGAGGAGGGACACAGCAGAGAGCAGGAAGAGAGGAGAGACCGACAGGAGAGAGAGGAGAGAGGAGACAGGTGAGAGAGAAGGGAGGAGAGACTGACAGGGGAGAGAGGAGAGACAGGAGAAGCCGAGAGGAGGGCAGGAGGGGGGACGCTCTCTCCAGGTCGGGTGGGGTCCGTGTGTGTACCCCCAGAGAGGGGGCTGTTACCAGACCACAATAAACACCCCTGTTGCCACTCGCCCAGCTCCCTGTCTGATTTCTGGCCCACAGCCTCACAGCTGACACCACCGCCGACCTGCAGGGGGCGCTGTTCCGCGGGGTGTCATCTCGGCCAGGAGGTGAAGAAAACACATCAACGCGCTTTGTGGTGGTTTAAAAAAAAAACTAAAAATCTTTTGGTCTTTATTGACACAGCGACAGGAGTGAAGGAAACAGAACTGTGGCGCTCCAATGCCCATGAAACATAACCAGGCCCACAGTCAACAGCACACCAGGAACAAGATGATCAGGACCACACCCAGGGAGGTTACAGCCACGCCCACATCACAACACCCCCCACCATGAGCAACATTCAGAAAGACATGAGAGCCACACCCATCTGGCATGACCACACCCCCTGTGAGCAGCACACCCAGACATAGCCACACCCACACGACATGACCACACCCAGACAGGTGATGGCCAAACCCACAAGACACGGCCACACCCACTGCCAGTCACATGAACCAGCTACTGAGCGCCTGGCCCACACGTTGGCGCGACCCCCTGCTCCCCGCGCAGTTTGGCCGACGGCCACACCACGGTCCTATGAGAACTCACTCCGACCCCACTGACAGGCCAGTCTCGGGGGGCAGCTGTGCTCAGAGTGAGGGGCTCCAGCGCAGCAGCGTTACTGCTCGGCCCTGGGAGAGCAGGAGGTCAGAGGAACGCGAGGACAGGGAATAGAATCATGTGACGTCACTACATGTCAACAGGCCAGTGCGATTCAGTGAAGCTGATAGAGGAACAACAGTGAAGCATCACAC